CCCCCCCCCCCCCCCTCCTTAATAGAGCAGCCAAAAATGGAATGAAATGTGAACTATCGCCCATAGGAGAGGCTAGCCAGACTTGTGGGTTCACCTTTGTCATCGTCAGCACCAGGCTTGTCTTGTTTCTAAATTTTTCTGCCATTTAACGCCACAGCAAAGCACTGCTGATGGTGACATCGATCCAAAACATAAAACTTAGGATATGTGCCTGCAAAAGTGTGAATTTCGCCACTGCACCGATTTGTATTCAACTTGACGAATGGATTTTCATGTCTTTATATACTGAGGTTTTCCTCAATAAAATTATTAGTGGCAGGCACAAATTTCAAATAAACAAACACACAAACAATCAAAAAAGGGCATATTTGTCTCAAATACGCAATGCCATAATGCGTGCGCTAAAGATAACTACAGAAGCACATTAGTCAGCCATTAGATGATGAATGTAATATAAGACAAGTCAAGACTTATCTTTAAAAAATGGTTATTGTGTTTTTTACGGATACTTCCTTATATTGAGAAACTGTTTTTGAAGCATTGCATAAGGCTCCTTTCCCAAGTTTCGTGACGACTCCAAGAGACTGTTTTGACTGGCTAAAAGTCACAAGGCACTAAGCCACTTAAATGTCTTGGACCTCGGTGAAAAAAATAAAAAATAAAAAATAAATGAATGAATGAATAAATGTACAAACAAATATGTCATATTTGAATATAAAATGCTCTGGGCTAAACGAATATATTTATCTCTGTATTTATATTGTATTATTATTATATTTCTTATTTTATTTGTAACATAAGATATGTATCATTTATCTTATGAGTAATATAGACATAAGAAGAAAATAATTAAGAACCTGTTAATTAGAAGATTTCATGAGAAGGAACTGGTTACTAGTGCTCTCATTCGCCTTATTCTCCATCGCTCATCGCTCAAGAAGTGAGCGATTTACAATAGACACTTTTTTGCTTTTTTTGCCTTGCGTGTTTTGAAAAGACATGAAATCACTACATTACGCCTTGACCTTTCGAAATCCTAAGAAAGAAAAACAAATTACCTCATATCATCAGGACGCGTGCTGACAAGACTTCCTAGACACTATTTCAGGAAACATGCATATGCCATTCCGGGCTTGTGACGTACTACCATGTCAATCCTGAGAGTTCGGTGTCGCCACAAGGAAGTATTTTTCCTAGAGCGCGGTTGCTTCATTTCTCAGTTGCTCCGAACAATGTAACGGCAGTTGCAACAATGTTTGCTTGGAGGCTAAGAGGCATTATTCTCGTTGTCCTTGCGACAAGCCTGTTTGTATCAGGTCATAAAGTACGTCGAGAGAACGGCTGCAAGAAAGCCTTGAGAAAAGCTGCGAGTCCTGAGAAAAGCGATCTGCATAAATCAAAGGTAAACTTCGAGGTCTGCTTTGAAGTTGAAGGCGTGACATACTACTGCCCAGGAGATGACAGATGCTGCTCACCAGGGAATCCGGAGAGTAAGTGTTGCCCTGCAGATCATCCACTATGCTTACCTGAAGAAGACCCAGAATTTTGCTGCCCTGAGGGATATCCAAAACTGTGTGGAGAGTATTGTTGCACGGCTAGTAGCTTTTGCTGTAATGAAGAAAACTGCTGTTTGGATGAAAGCGAGTGTTGCGGGGAGCAGTGCTGCGAGGCTGAAGAGAAATGTTGTGGAGAAAATTGTTGTGAGGCGGGTTTATTTTGTTGCAACGAAGAAAGCTGTTGCCAGGACGAAGCTGCTTGTTGTGGGGAGAATTGTTGCACCGGTGAAAATTCTTGCTGCAAGGAGAATGCCACTGAAACGTGCTGCAACAAAAATACCATGGGCTGTTGTGACGGATACGGATGTGTTTCTCCTTGCCAGTCCCAGTTTGATGCCATTGGGTGCCAGTTGTCGAGGTTTTCCCTTGAGGAGGAAGAATTATTGGCAGAGCCTCTGACGCTACCAGAAAATATTTATCGAATATTACGACCAGACGAGAATCCAGAGGGAATTGTCGCGAAAAATCCCGCTGCCCAAAAAACTGTTCTTTCCCACGTTAACTGCGGCAGTCGTCCGCAGTATGCTTCCCAGTTTATATCAACATCAGCTTCCTTGGACGTGGCCAAATATTACATGGAAAAGGGAAAGGAGAAAGGTCTGACGGGCTTGAGAATTTGCCAGTTTGAAGTGGATAAATTACCTCAGAGTTGCCAAATTGTAGATCTGACGACTGAAGAGAACCGAGACAAGTACTTAGGAAACGCTGTGTGCAAAAACTTTGCCAAGGCGTCAGCTGAAGTCCTACTCCAATGTAGTTTGCCAGCTTCGTGTACAGTTTTTGATCCCCCACCAATTGGCAAGAGGAACTTTGAAGAACTGTAGACTTAACCTTTGTTTTCTCGTTACTAGCTGCAATGAAGCAGCTAAAAACTGAGCTGTAGTTGTTCACCCGCCAGAGATACAGTCACCAAAGAATTAACCTGTGAACTGATACAAGATGGTATCTTAATTTACGAGGCATAAATGACAGGTAGATATAAAATATTGAGTCAATCGCTTGTGACATTAAATGAGAATCAGTTTCGTGGATTAATATTTTTTAATGATGCAACAATGGTGAACTTTTGATTTTGGAGAAGCTTGGAGACGCAGATAGCGACGTTAGTGACTCAATAAACATTGCATCTAAAAACATTTTTAAATGTTTTACTTTCATTTTCTGTCATAGTTATTTGCCATTTTTAAGAAATTCAATTTTTGGGTGCCGTTTCAGTCATCATGCAACAGCAAATTATATTTTGAAGGGAAAATATTGTCAAATCAAAGGTTCGTCTGATTACGACAGGATATGTGCCGAGGCAAGTTGTTATCGTTTTGTTAATTCATTTTTCGGGATGAGGACGTTTGCCAAGTTTAAGAATTATTATAGCTCTTCAGTTTTGCCTAGCTTATGCTCCGACCCGTTCATTTCTTTTTATAGTTTTCTCTAAGATTTAAAGTTGATGGCTTCATTGAATTAAAGGGGCATCAGATCTGAATTTTTTCATCGAATCGTTCGCGTAATTTTATACAATTGAACATGTTGTACTTTGAAAGCTTTTCGTAACGCAAATTATAAAATTCTCAATTCTCCAAGATTCTTTTCCTCAAGATAGGAACCATTAAAAAATTAAATTAATAAAAAAATTCTATGTACAACTCGATTAATTAATTAATTAATTAATTAATTAATAAGTAGCTAATTAACAATGAATCAATTATTTATATGTAAATCGAACTAGTAAGATAGCAATAGCACTTCAAGTCTTAATCTGTAACGTGGCATGATTACCTAACTAAAAGTAATTCATTTTATGTTGTGAGCTCTCTGTCCATGTATAGGCCCACTTGCCTTAGGTCCTAACTACAAGGAAAAAGGGCAATCTTAGTTTCAGGGTTAACTTAGGAAGGGGATTAAAGCAGGCCCAGGTTTACGAGAAAAAATTCAAAGGTAGGGTTCTGCTATCACTCGGGTCACTAAATTACAAGGCACGAAGTGGGCGAAAACAAGGATTGATTGGTGTCAAAATGGCGGGCAAATTTCGAAAGAGAAAATGGTTTGTCGGTGGTGCAGAAGGTAAAAAACGTGTCAAACCACCAGAGATTTCTTTAATTTTTATTGTAGTTGATTTAGTAGATTCTGATTGAGTGGATCTCTGTGGCATGGAAGAACTAATACGATGAAGCTTAAATACAATTGAATGTTTTCAATACTTACGCTGATCGCAACGGAAATCCAAACCTAAAATTCTGGTCCTAAAACGAACTATTCATCATGAGCTGTCAAATGTAGGAAAACGAACTATTCATGAGCTGCCATATACTAGAAACCGCAATCGCTAAACTATTTAAGACCACAGAGAAACATGGAAAAATAATCACGCATATTTCGATAATCCTGCATTGTTCAAAGTCACGCATTCTTCGTAAATCACGGGCTGTTCTTGTTCATGTTCATAGCTAGATCACGTTTCTTGTTTCTTGGTACGGGCCTTGGGGTGCTGTTGTTGTTGCTCGACCAAGGATAATGTGGTTTGGAGACAAAGGGTATCCTAATGGTCTACTATTGATGAGGTATTCAACTTCTGCGAAAATTGTAGACATTTCTTTCCAGGAAAGAGACTGAGAAACGACGATTGCTTTCAAGGCGCGCTTCGTTTGCTTGAAAAGACTGTCATAAATTCCACCTTGGTGTGGACTGAGGGGTGCGGTAAAAATCCAGCGAATTCTGTGGAGAACAGAAAACTCTTCAATTTGATTTCTTCCCTCTTGTGCTAGCTTCTTCAACTCCTTCTCAGTTCCAACAATTGACTTGCCATTGTCCGAGATCATAGTGTGTGGCCATCCATGGTGTGCTGCGTGACGCCGCAGGGCATGCATGAATGATTGAGTGGACAGATCTTCTACAATCTCCAGATGAATGGCGCGAACAGTTGCGCAGGTGAATAGTGCTCCCCAGGCTCTTTTAGTTCTGTTTCGTCCAGTTTTCAATTTGAAGGGGCCAAAAAGATCAATACCAATCACAGAGAAGGGAGGAGAAAATTATTTCAACCTCTCGGGCGGCAAATCGGCTATCAGGGTACTGTGTGCTGGTTGGCGAAGCTTCCTACATATTGTACAATCTTTGACCACGCCCTTTGCAAGGTTTCGCCCATGAGTTATCCAGAACTTTTGGCGACTTTCTGACAGGGTTCTTTCAGGTTCACAATGAACAGCTTGAGTGTGTACTTCTCGCACGGTCAGCTTGGACATGAGATGGCTTGTTGGCAGAAGTATGGGGTGGATCTTTTCATAGGTAAGGGGTGCATGTCTTAGCCTTCCTCCTACTCTCACCACGCCCTCTAAAACAAATGGTGCCAAATCGCTAAAGCGATTTTGCCAATCTTCCGGATCCCTCTGTGCCGACATTATCCAGTAGCACTCTGCTTGCTCCATCTCTTCTGGAACAAGTGGTCCCTCGGGTACTTCTTTACTGGAAACCTGGTTTCTTGCTTTTTTCTTTGCATTAGACAGGAAACGCATGCAGTAGGCAATTCTGAACAGTCGTTGCCGGCTTGAGAAGGTACTTGGCTTTAAAATATCTTGGTTCTGGACAACAGCTCCGACCTGTTTGTGTTTTGCATTCTTTATCTCGGGGTCATTCGCCATAGGGGTGTCCAGTTTCTCTGCGGGCCACTCTTCCCTGTGTTTCCTTAGGAAAGCGGGACCTTTCATCCATTGGCCATCGAGTTCCTCGGTGGGAAGTCTTCTGCTGAGATCATCTGCTTGGTAAAGGTCGGTCTCCAATCTCTTCGATCCATGTGGATTGGGACCTCTGGGACACGAACACCTAAAATGCTTTCATAAGGAAGGAGTCTGAGCGAAGCCAAAAGATAACTAACTTTGAATCAGACCATAATTCCATGTCGGTCATAAATAGGGAAGCGGGACGCACACCCTCACACAAATTGCCTGGGAGTACTGCCCCCCCCACCCACAACCACCACCCTGGGATACGTTCTGGACCTTTCTGAGTCATCCTCCCGGCATCGAAAGATTTCTTAGTTTTTCGGTAAACTCCAAACAATATGTTTTCATTTTACGGGTGGACAAGAAAGAAAAGTTTTCATTATTGCATGCATGAGCACATCTTATCCCACTGGGCAGTATCAATCAAGACACTTCAACGAATAGCGGGCAAAATTTCATCCTACTGCTCTGCATTTCCTGCAGTCCGGCTCTTTGCCAAAGAGATTTATCGCGCCTAATCCGGTTTTATTAAATCGCCTCGGTTACTTAAGGTGTCAGATGATATAAGAAAGGACATCGAATCCCGGCATTTTCTTGATTCATAGGAAGGTCGTCTCCCATCGCTGCCGGAGTACCATGTTCGACTTTTGAAAGTTTTTAGCGATGCTTTATGCAGATTTTGCCTGGGGTGGAATAATTAACGTCCCTGTTAGTCCACGTTTCAAGACCCGCGATTATTGGACGGCAGAGATGCGACATCTTTTAATTGTAGTCTAAAAGGCTCGATGGTGCTTTTGTCAATGTCCTAAAGGCTGGAAAATCTCTCGTTACTAATGCTGGAGTGGATGCTTGCTCGATGGCATCCCTGCAGTGTGCAAAGACAAGGTGGAAAAATAAACTACGCAATGACACGCTCAAGCCTTCCTGTATTTCCTCTCCCCGCCTCCGAGCTCACAGCCTACACGGACAAAGCAGCATAAATGAGACCAGCGGTCGGGAAAAGTAACGAACGCGCAAATAAATAGTTTCGATCCACCTTAGAGTAGCTAGATATATTAGATATACAGACACCAAAATTACGATAACACCAGTTTGGTAAACATTGAAAATATGGTGCTAAAATACATGTACCAGGATAAATTCCCTTCTCTTCTCTTCCATAGCAAGTGACATCGCTATTAAATTGTTGCTGCAAACATCAGCACCATTATTTTTACGCTTTTACAATATATTCCGTTTATGAAAATTTTAAACATAATCCACTTTTACATTCGAGATTCCATATCCCCACTGTTTGGTTGTCTAAACTATAAATATTAAAAGTTCCATTCAATAGCCTTTGAAATTAAATGAGTAATGGACAGGTGTCATAAGATACTTTTGAATGCAATTCATGCAACGAAGACCGCAAGAATAAGATGAAAAAGTTGTTTGTATGTGGCGATGCCACCTTTGTACATAAAAGACAGTGAAGAAAACCCTACTTCCCTTTAATGTCAAATGAAGAAATGAAGAAGCTGTTCAAAAAAAAAAAAAACCTTGTTCGCGCTTATCTTTCCCTCTTTATCAAACCCCTCTCGAGTTAATCCGCTTTTAGATTAGTCATTGGTTGCTTGACTGTGAATGTAATTTAATGTAACGGTAATCGCATGGTTTTGACAACAATTTACAATAAATGTCTCACGAGTAAATTGAATTTCAAAAGGCTCACAAAATTACACGAGCCAATAATTAATGCGACTGCAATTTGTAGAAAAAATGCTGCATCTATTTATAGTTGTAAACTGTTTACGAAAGCCGCTAATTTTTCTTAATTTATACAAGCCAAAAGTTCAAACCATATTTAAGCGGCCAAAGTCCATTTCCAACAAACAGAAGCCGTTTGTGTAATTCATCTCGACTGTCACATTCAAAGCCTTTGGTACGTTCCAACCGTGCACTTAATTCGAAGCGGCGCTTTTCGACCTGTCCGATGTCGTAATGGAAGGATTCAGCGTACCTTCAAATAATGGATTGCTTGGAATATCCCGTAGTTTTACTGTCACTAATTTCCGTGTCAAGTGATACAGCGACAAATGGTTTTGTTGCATGATTACATAAGAACAGACGTGAATTTCTGGCGATACCATTAACCTCCAAGAAGATAGCGGACAATTATTTGATGAGGCCAACCGTTGTATCCTGCTTTCGCGAAACTTAGGTATGTACAAATTTTGAATAGCACATATTTTAATGCTTGAAGGCTTTACTTTCCTTGCAATTAAATTTCGGGATCAGTTCCCTTTTTATTTTCGCTCTTCTATTCTCATACACTTGGTTGCGTTTCTTAGGTTTAAATCATGCTTAACGCCAACAATTTCCATTTTCATCAGTCGTTATTTGATTGCCTGAGCAAGAAAATATGACAATTCTAATTTACCGTTTAAAGTTGCACTCTGACTTTATTAAAACGATATTGACTGAACGATGTGAATCAAATTTTTGCTGTTGTTGTTTTATTGCGTGTGTACTTAGTTCAAAACGTTGTGACTGTAAAGTTTTAATTGAAGGACACAGCTACCCTTCAAATAATGGACTTCTTGTAATTCCGAAGTTTTTGTGATAAACTGATTCAGGAAAGTACACATCTTATTGTTAAGTGACTAAATAAGAAAACGTTTTAGTTCTCTCGGATTTTTTGCGCAGAATATGAATTTCTGGCTGAATCGACAATTCCGTTCAGGAAAGTGAACGATTCTTTGGCGCAATCAATGCACTTTAACTTACAGAATCGAAGGTAAAAGCAATACTGCACCATGTTTGTATTCTCGGTTCTGTTTTGGTACTAGCTTGCAGTTGAGGCTAATGCGGGCCGGAGTCTTTTCAAATACAAATAGACATAGACATATAGACATATAGTTTATTTTTCTTGGACAACACACTTTGCTATGGTAACGGTGCGTCCCATACAGCCATAGACTTGCCGGGCAAGCAGTCTATAGGACGCACGCTGAGCTAGTTTACAGGTGCGCCAAGAAACCAAAATAACGAAGTAAAAATGTATGAAAAATTTGTTATAAATATTAAACTAAAGTATCTAAGAATAT